GCAGCGCTGCGTCTGTCGGTGAAGTAACAGAAAAAGAACAACAAACCAAACAAAATAAAAAAGAACCTGTAGATACAGGATTATTAAAAAATAAAGTTTTCTCAATAAAATTTAAATGTACAACGGGAAAAAGAAAAAAAACAATACATCAAAAAATACAAAAACATAAAAGCAAAAAAATTGTATTGGAAAATCAAGATTCTGGTTATCTAGAGAAGTCTGCGGTGTTAAAAGTTGATTCTAATACGGAAGGTAATGTTTCGTTACAGGTTGTTGAACCAACGAAAAAGCGTGATTCTTCCAAAATGTGTAAATCTACAACTAAACTTACTTCCTCCATAATATGTGGCATAATTTTCGCTTCATCCGAGACACACATAATCAAATTTCAATGTAAGAAATGTCGTAAATTAATGTATGATATTGATAACTTTTCAAAGCATCTGCATAAAGTACATGGTATTTTATCTTTGAACGAATTTTCATCCGATTTGAAGTCAATACTTGATACTCCAAGTAAGAAAGAATTGCGTCCAGATAAGAATTTGGTTTTTAAGCAATGTGGAAAAGTTGAGCTGATCGATGGCAACAAACTGTGCTTTGCATGCACTTTATGCAATAAATTCAATTATACTGACTTGAACCTATTACATAGTCATCTAAAAGAACGCCACACATGCTCTGTGACAGATGGTAGCGATCTTACTCATTTACAAAGGGTAGAGGTCAAAGGTGAAGTTTTTATTATAAAACATTTAAAGAAACCAGTAGATAAAGCGAAGGAAGACAATTGTACTGAAATGGAAGTTTCCACCTCCTTACCAACACTAATCTCAAGTCAAAATAAAGATGAATTGGCTGAAGATTTTAGTGAAGTTAGTTCTTTACCAATACCTGCGCCAGATACTCCACCACCAGAAAGTGATGATCTTATTAAACACAATGCTACACATATACCAGCTGATCAAAATGATAAGTATAAGACGACCACTCAAAGGAAGATTAAAAAGGTAAGTTAATTTTTTACATAAATTTTAATAAAAATTTTAATTTAAATGAACTGTTTTTGTCCTTAGCAAACAACCAGAAAATCAATAAATTTGAAACAAAGTGAAACCGCTATTACGTCTTTAAAGAAATCTGAAAAAATTATTGTGAAAAAACCTATTTCCATGAAACCAATCAAACTATCCTTAACTGAGTTGTTCAAGCCGACCAAACTTAAAACGAAATTAGCTGCAACAATTAAGCCAAATTTAAAACAAACTACTTTGTTTGATATTGTAAGTTTTACTAAAATGGACACCACTCTTACTAATAGTACGAAGGAACAAACAATAGTTAATAAAAAGCCACCAAAAAATGTTCTTATACCGAAAGTAGTTGAGAACACAACTTCACCGTCTGTTGTACCTAAAGACTTAAGGCAACAATCACAAACTTTAACTGTTGATGATAAAATAAATGTCTGTATGTCCTCCGACGTACATAACGATTTAAAACAAAAATCACCAGCTATTCATATTGATAATGACATACCAGTTCCAAAGAATCTAACGCAAAAACCATTGGCTTTGTATGTTGATAATGGAATGAATAAGTTTACACAACCGGATCCAAGTAATAACTTAACCAAACAAGTATCAGTTATGGCTGTTAATAAAAAAATGATCGATTTGTTACCACATAAATCTAAGGAGTTAAAGCGAATACCAACAGCTTTGCCTATTGATAACCAAATGGATGTGGACTTAATGAAAAAAAAATTGGTTGTGCATGCAGCAAATAAAGTTGATAAATTTATGTTACCGGTTCCATCTAATATTTTAACGCAACCACGATCAGTTCTATCCAGCGATTTAGAGCAAAAATCACCGTTTTTGCCTGTTGATAACAAAGTGGACGTTCAAAACAATTTAACGCAAAAGTCATCGGATTTACATGCTGATAATAAAATGGATGTAATTATATTACCAGATTCATCTAATAATTTAACACAAAAACCATCAATTTCGGTTGTTAATAGTGATATTTTATCACATTTTACTAAGGATTTTCATCAGCAAAAATCATCAGCTTTGCCTGTTGATAATAAAGTGCATGTCAATATGCAACTTAATGTTTCAAACAATTTAATGCCAAAATCAATGGATAATCTCATATTACCTGATTCATCTAACGACTTAACACAAAAATCACCAGTTTCGTTTCTACCTAAGGACTCAAAACAAATATCACCAACTTTACTTGAAGATAAAAAAATTCATTTAACTGTCGATGACAAAATAGTTGCCGATATGGAATCTCATCTTTCGAACAATATAATGCAAAAGCCACCTTCTCCACCAGAATCAGTTAAAAGTTTTGAACAAATTCTTTATGTTATAACTGAATTGAATGAAAACTCTAGTAAATCGCAATTAGATGCAAGCAATAAGGAAGGTAAATCAACCAAACAAACTTATAAGAAATGCAATACTATAGAGCCTCCAACCCAATTGATGGATCAAAATAAAGAGACCACAAAACCTGAAAAGAGAACCTATAACAAAAAAGCAAATGATATTCGTTTGACATGTGAAATTTGTTCCAGGACATTTAAGAAAAATTCTCGCCTAGCCGAACATAAACGTTTACATAGTGGCGAGAAACCTTACGCTTGCGATATATGCGGCAAAAGTTTTCGCATTAAAAGACGACTGCAGGAAACTCTGCATCGCATAAAATCTAACCTTCGTTCACAAACAGAAACTAAAAATTAACTATATTAAATTTTTAATAAATTTAGAGACCTTTAAGTGTGAAATTTTGTGATTATCGTCACGGTGTCTGTGCTCTGATAGAACGAGAGCATATGGGTAATGAAAATAAAAATAAATCATCTACTCGTAAACCTTATGTTAAAAAAAATAAGAAAGTGGTTCAGCAGAATAATGTCTTAGAAGTAAATGACAAGAAATTAATAAAAACTAGAAGTAGTAGTAAGCCAACTGAATTGGATGCAACAGTGGTGAGGATGGATAATTCTGAAGACAGTGAAAATTTGCAAGAGATGCAATCGATGCTAAAAAAAGAACAGAAGGATTTATCTATAAATTGTTTTAAGTCACAAGTTTCTGTGACATTATCAATGCAAGTGGAGAAATTGCCAGTGTTGACGGTGCCAAAGAATGAGAATGATAGCTCTATCTTGAGAAATGGTAATGCAACTCCTTCTGCTCTTGCAAGGAAATAAATACTTATTTGAAATATGTAAGTTAAATGTATGTTTACTTCAAAAATTTTGCTTCAATGAAAATTTTATTTAAATGAAAAATTTATTTGAATAAGAAATTACGAATTATATTTATTATGCATGTTCTCAATGAATTATAAAAGACCTCGCAATAAGGCATTAGTTTTAAGAAAGTTTTAATCAGCAGGGATTATAAATATATTTTTTTATACATAATAAATTTGAACTAAAGACTTAATATACTTTTTAAAAGTCAGCGAATAATATATAACAATTATATATATAAGAAA